GTCAGTTAGAGCTTGACGAATTTGATAATTTACTCCGCCACACGACGGAATATGTTACAAACAATCATTTCAATAATGATTCATGGCTCCAAGCAACTCTTCCTGTAAACCTTGGCGGATTAGGGCTACGTTCGGCTTCTTCCTTAGCTTTACCAGCTTTTCTGTCATCAGTCAATAGTGTTTCCGATCTTATCGATTCCATCCTTCCTTCCATATTTATCAATATCAAAGACGTATTTTATTCTGAAGGTGAATCACTTTGCCATGCTGCAACTAATATTGCTCCTCCTACAGACAAAAAAAAATACAAAGTGTATGGGGCCGACCTCTTCTGAACATTATAACTGATGAACTTCTGAAATCTACAAGTATATACGATAAGGCTCGTCTGAAAGCAGCAATGATCAAGGAATCGGGTGCTTGGCTGAATGCTTCACCTGTTGCATCTCTTGGAACACCATTAGACGATGAATCTTTCAGAATAGCAGTAGGACTTGCAGGAGAGTTGCAGGAGAAGTGCAGGGCGTACATCTCGACATCACCAAGTGAACGACATAGTGAAACGAGCTATGTTGTCAGCGGATGTTCCTGCAATTCTGGAACCCTTAGGTACCAGTCGAGATGATGGTAAAAGACCAGATGGTATGTCTCTCATATCATGGAAATACGGTAAACCTGTGGTATGGGACTTCAGTTGCGTTGACACGGTCGCGGCTTCCCATCTAGCCGAAAGATCCAAGTCTGCTGGAACTGCAGCATTGTCTGGCGAGAAATTGAAAAGAAAAAAATACCAAAATCTTGGAAACAACTATCTGTTTCATCCAGTAGCGATTGAAACTTTTGGTGTTTATGGCCCGGAGTCTCTGTTATTCGTTCATGAACTCGGAAGGAGTATAGTATATAGATCACCGTTCTACCTCTTTTCCAAATTTCTAATTATTTGTTGTGGTAACTGCTCGTAAATCGTCAAAAGAGCATCTACAACTTGGTTCAGATTTTGGAAGGGTTGATGATCTTTTAAACGTCTTTCCAGTTCATCCCAGAGCTGCTCAATAGAATTTAAATCCGGACTATTAGCTGGCCATCTCATGACATTAATATTGTGCTCCTGTGAGAAATTTCTCACGACCCTAGCTACGTGTGGCCTGGCATTATCTTGTTGTAAAATGAACCCAGCGCCCATATTTTGGGCAAATGGGACGGCATGAGGTTCCAATATCTCCTCTATGTAACGGACAGCCGTTAAAGTCCCTTCCCGAAATACCACAAGNACTATTTAAGATAAACAATCTTACCATTATCGATCCACCTCCAAATGGAACAATTTCTTGCACACAGTCATCCAAATAGCGTTCACCTGGACGTCTCCATACCCGAACACGTCCGTCATTGTTGAATAACATGAATTTTTTTTCATCTGTAAACATTACATTGGCCCACTGCTCTAAATTCCAATTACAATGCTCTTGATAAAAGTGCTAGGGGCTCTAGCAGGCCGTCTTGCATGAAGTTGTACTTCGTGAAGTCGGTTTTGAATCGGTTGGTTCGAAATTCGCGTCCCCGTAGCTTCTATAAGGTGATCTAGCAGAATTGGTGCGACCCCTAATTGCCCAAAGTCGTAACAATCTTCTCTGCGGATTGTTGCCCTTTGTCGATTGGGATAAGGGGCTCTTTTTACTATGCCGTAAATTTGGTAGCGATTCAAAGCTCTGGAAACCGCAGAATGACTCACATTGAGCATTTGGGCTACACGACGCCTTGAATACCCTACTTCGATCGATGCTACTGCTCTAGCAACTTGGAATTCGTTGAGGTACACCCTGCTTATCCTTCTTCTACCCAATACATCAACATTCATTGTTTAAATTTTAAAAATTCACGAACTAAAGTAAAGTGAAACTAAATACAGAATTTTTCATATTAATGATTTTGTAGCTAAAAATACAGAAAGAAGTAAAAAAAGTAAACAACCGAATGGAACATGATAAGAATTAGTATGGAGTACACACCAGAAGTTTTTATCATGAGGATGTGTCTCTATATTCATTTTGAGTAGTATGAGCCTGCAGCTGTTGCCTTTTTTAATCTGTTTGGACAGTTGAATTATTTTATTGAAGCGGCTGTTGATGCATTTTGTTTTTTTACATTCTAGTCAAGCCGCAGACATAGTGAGATGTAGGGAAGCTTTACGGTCCAGTTACCAATACTTCATTAAGCAATTGACAGATGGAGGGGAAAGCAGTGACGAAATTATCTCGTCGTGGGACAGTATTCTAAAATTATTGAGTGACATATTGATTAAAAATCGTGTTAAAGAGTGATATAGAGGCTGTAGTTAATAAAAAGTTTGTTACAAGTTGTTTTCCTTTACTTCGAACGTAATATTCTTATTGTATAGTTCTGTTGGATTTCCCGCAGCGGAACAGCCCGAAAAATTAACCATAAAACGAATAATTATACTTCAAATTACTCATCATTCTGATTGCTCTTCTCTGAATTACAAATATTTCATTTATATTACTATTGTTTCCCCAAAATATGAATCCATATCTAGCTACAGACTCAAAATTGGAAAAATATAAAATTTTTACTGATTCTTTGTTGAGATATTTGTGAACCACTCTCAGTCCATATGAAATTTTGCTCAATTTGTTAGCTGTATAGTCAATCTGTTTGTTCCATTTCAAGAATTCATCAATATGAAGTCCTAGAAATTTGATGTCTTCTGAATATTTTATAGTAATGTTTTCAATGTTCAAATTTTGAGGTTGTTCTATCTAATTGATTAGTTCTAAAAAGTATAAGATTAGTTTTAGATTCATTCAAAATTAACCTATTCCTAGTGAGCCATTCTTTTGTATCATTAAACATACCTGTTTTTACTACTTCAGGGTATGTTTCACGGCCTATTAATAAATTAGTGTCATCAGCAAAGACTGCAATTGAATTATGTGTGTTTGAATGATAACATAAATCGTTTATGTAGATAATAAATATCAAGGGACCCGCAATGCTTCCTTGGGGTATTCCTACTTTCACTACCGCATTCTCAGATTTGTATGTTCGACCATATTTGTTGGCGAGCTGTTAGGTGAAATTCGATCCATTCATATTTTGGATCGGATCATCATATATGATGAAAAGTGGAACCTCCACAACAACGGGAGACGTTCAGGTAGTTCCAGATCACAGTTTACTAGTAACGTCAATTAATGGATCAATTCAACAAGAGGAGACAAAATTTTTGGGTTTGAAGATAACAGAAAATCTCAAATGGAACAAGCATATTGATATGATTTGTAAAAAGATATCCCCAATATCTTATTGTATTAAACAACTACTCTGGAATGTAAATAGATCACTCTTATTAATGTACTACCATGCATACTGTCATTGTAACATTTCCTGTGGTATTATATCTTGGGGAGCATCTATAGTGATTGTTCCAGAATACTCAAAATCCAAAAAAGAACCATAAGGTACGTAGCAGGACTTACTAGAAGAACAAGTTGCAAACTCATCTTCCAAAATCTCAGAAAATTGACTGTTACAAGTATATTCATTTATGAGATATTAAAATATGTAAAATCACACATAACCAGTTTTCCTACTCTCAATGGTAATAAGAATTATAATACTAGAAATTCCCTACAGTTGGAAATGCCAACACACAGATTAGTTGTATCTGAATCATGTCTCAGGCTTGCCACATTAAATTGTACAATAAAATTCCAAGTACAATAAAAAATCTGGCTCTTAAACAGTATAACTATTAAATCAAAGAGTTGCTCCTGGATAAATCCTATTATTCTCTCAAAGAATATATGGATGATAACTTATGACCCTTTACATGTGTACCATTTTGGGTAGATTTTAATAATGATGCTGTTGTATAAATAACAGATTATTTATTTTTGGTTTTGACTATTATATAGTATGTACATGCCCAACATGTTATTCCGATTTTAATAACGATGCTGTTGCATAAATAGCAGATTATTTTTGGTTTTGACTATTATAATATTATATTATCTATGCAAGTTGTATATTGTGCCTCTAAGTGCACGGAGTTTGTATTTGTACACGTTTTCACATACTCAATGTCATCTATTGATAGTCCAAGCGAATAAATATTATTATTATTATTGTTTCAAGCACTTCGATAACTTTCTCACCGGTAGAACCTTCGTTGGAATTTAGAATTCAGTTCAAAATAGACTCACAAAAAAGGACGAACCTTTTGAAACAACCTAAAAAAGCTTGTTTTTCTATAATCAGCTATCACTTCCTTACAAAGGGCATCCTCAAAAGTCGAAGCTGGTACGAGCTAGGGATTAACGAGGTCTTACCTTTCAACGTGCGATCTTAGCACGGGTTGGGCGATAGTTAGCGAAAACCGATCAGCTGGCTTTACGACTTGAACCACCGTTTCACATAGCGGTCAAATAAATAAGTAGCGTAAACCATCCAAGCTTACCCAACCGGCTTTCTAATCATAACCAGATCATTGCTGGAATCACCTGTCCAAGAAATGATATAAAACTACCTATTGCAAAAATCAATGCTGCTTGTTCTTTGATATTCAAGGATTGGGTTCTCTGTCGATCAGATAGATGGCGCTTTCGTAAGGGGAGATATAGTCGCTCTTACTTAGGCTTGTGCTTTAAGGACAGTCGTGTCCAGCAATGCATTTGTGGTCAAAACCGCACTGCAGTGAAAGACAGGACGAATATCTCGAACATACAAGACCGTACATGACAAGAGACCTTTAGACGCCTTTTTAGAAATCGAAGAATGTGGAATGACGACAAATGTCACATTCAAAATAGCTCGTTAATTACTTTCTTGGTGTCTCCTCCCAGAGGATCCGATCCTCTCTACTTCATATTAGGACGGTATAAAGAATATTGTAGTTGACAGTTGGAGGCAGGTTTTATAGTGTATAACATTAGTTATATTTACTGTCATTTTTGAGAAAAAAGTTGAAACCAAACACAGGAAACTCGGTAATTTTTTAATGAAGACATTAGTACACATGCGACAATAACTGCCTAATTCAATGACTCGATTACATCTAATAAAAACTTTGAAAATCAGGATAACAATCTTTTTGGCCCTTACAAATAACAAAGCGACGAAATTTCACTCTCAGCTCTCCTCATCCCCAGGTTTGACGTGGTTCAGCAGGTTCACCGTCCAATCTCCATCCACCCCTTTCGTAAACTCTCTTGTGAATCTGTAATTGCTAATACATATCCTACGTTGGTATTCAGGGAAGAGGCCCATGTTCAAAGGGGGTTCTTCACCTCTGGATCGCATACTGGCCAGTCCTTTGAGGCTGTGGTAGACCATCGTAATTTCAACGAACCGCTTGGAGTTCTCTTCATCACTGAACATTATTCCCACCTCGTACGGGAAAGAAAAGTAAATATCGTCAACGTTGACAGCTATTTCTTCTCTTTGCGCTAGGGACATCAAGGAAATGGTTTTCTGGAGAGTGGGAATCAGATCGCTGGTTACTAATCCTTCCAGAGACTTGAGGTCTCCCTCGGACAGTTTTCTTGATACTACCTTGAAAGAAATAATAAATGTTTGGTAATTTGTTATTCAGTCTAATGCTAAAATACATTCGAATAGTTATATATTGACAATGATATTTTTATTGGCGAATATACTTAGTTTCTTCTCCATTATACTTGCTTTACTATTCAAACGAAACCTTGGCAGTACTCCATATTTATTTACTTTCTCTTTCAAATAATTACCACAGTGTGATCTGTCTTCGATTTTCTATAGTACTTGACATTATATTAATAATAATACAAATGTTTCTGTCATTATATCTTATAAGAGATATAGACAATACCATCATTATTGGAAAGATTCTTACAGAATGCACGAATACACAGATCTAATAATGTAAACGGTGTTTTGCCAGAACCTACCTCTACAGCCTTCTTTGAAGCATCTACAAAATCCTTCAAGTTAAAATCTTTATCAAAGTATGGCTTGATGATGAACGTGGCCAGAATGAAATTCCTGATTGTTTTAAATAACGAGGGCCACACGAATATCGGCGTTTCTGGCATCAGCTGCGGAAACTTGGAGGGAGGCTTGATTTTATCATCAGAAAAAAACCTTTTTTGGGACATGCCATTTTGATTGTTATTTGTGAAACTGGACGAATTCGCTAAAATCGAGCATCTGCATTTGCTTATGTTGGAAACATTGTTCAATTGTAACGGCTTCAATATTCTATTGTAATTGCAATAATTTTGAAGATTCCGAACCGCTAGGTTAACGTTCATTTTAGGAAAAAAGTAGGCATGGTTGCCACTTGCGGTCAGTGTTGCCCGAATCCGTCACTTTTGACAGAAAAAAGTAATTTTTTATTCTCTATCAACTCACAAAATGTAATATCTATTTGTCAGCAAAGGACACCATATTTTTCAATTCAGTAACAGAACAGAATACAATTTCTTTACCAAAATAGTATACAGTAACAAGAAAAACGTCACTTGGGGTAAAATAAGATATAGATCTGGTAGTCAGAACAAATTGAAATGAATCACGAAACTTACACTATTCATGAAATTAATTAGCATCTTTTGAAGTACAATAAAATAAAGAATGCAATAGAGCAACCTGAAATTAGGAATGCAAAATTACCTCAATTTTTAGTTTAAAATGTCTCGATCCTGTAGCAATTTTATTGGAGGAAGTAAGCTTTCTTCCTTGACTTGAAAACCGATATATTGCTAGAATCATTTATCAAGGTGTCCAATTTGTTGAATATTGTAGTTCCAAGGTACAGGTGACTTTTTTATATTGAGCAGTTCGATGGGGAGCAGCAGCTATTAAGAGGTATTTTGGGTTCTTTGAAAGAATTTTTGCGTGATTGACGCCACTCTGAAGTATGACACGTTTCGTGTGTTACTGCGGTACAGATCTTCAGTGGTGTATGTATTAACTGCCAAGATGTAAGTAATATCTAGAAGTTTCAGCAAAGTCCGACTAAAGAGGTGTCGGATACAAAGTCAGTGTTGACAAACGTTTAATAATTATCTTTTTCACATTTTTTTAACCAGCAATGGAGTAACTATTCAACATAGTTTGATTGGTAGACCACGTACGAACATACTCGACACCCAAATACCCAATAAGATCAAACAAACATTAGTAGGTATTTGGAATATACTAACTCGTAAACTGATGTGAATTAATAACACCATCTATCCTTGAATAGTGAAATTTGAAACATCTGTGGAAAATGAAACAGTTAGAAAAACTTTTGCTACACCGAAACAAAAGTACTGTCATTATTACGAGATAATTAAGACAGTCTTGAGGATTTTCTGATGATTCCTACTTGGTTATCGAGACATATGTCGTGAGAGTGTATTATTGTTCTGGTGTAGAAAAAGAGTTTTCGAAGGAAACACTATCCATAATAATAATAATTTAATTTGGCTCTGGCACCAATTCAACCAAAGAAGCATCTGTATAGTGAAACACGTCTTGAAAAAAATAAAACTGTGTCTCTCTCTCTCTCCTTTTGTATGGCCGTTCCTTTTTTTGGACGCATCGCCAATTCCCTTCTGTCAACAGTTGACAAGAGTTTTCGTGGTGGGGCGCAGCCGTCATGCTCAAGGCAATGCTGCCACACCCTAGTTTTTCACTAATTTTTTGTTTATTAAAAAACACCATAGTTTTTAAGTCCACTTCTCCTCGGGAATTTTTGTTTTTTCCACTTACAAGCCCTCCTTTACGTGATTATCCGAACCACTCCGGACTTGATACGTGCGTGAATAAAAGTGGCCCCCACTTCACATTTGATAATATGTGTACTTCACCTCACACATATATACTTTCATAATCGATTTTCACTACAGTCACATGGCATTCATGGACGTTATCGGTACGTCTGTCCGCTACACGGCCACCACCGAACTCCCAAATAATAGTGTGAAAATTTATTGAAAACACTTTCCCAACAACAGAACGAATTTACGGTCTGTCGACGTGCGTTTCGCTAAGCAAGTTAGCGCCCTCAGAGATAATTATGACTGAACTATTAAGTGTGAAAATTGTTAAATTATTATCATGGATAACATTATGGGTAAAAAACGTGGCGAGGTTACTACTGTCGTACTGAATCTATTACCATTGGATGATCTTTCAGAATTTTGATTGAATGATATGAACACGTGAGGTTTTTTTTTAACGAAATATGAATATGCTTGATACCCTGTCCGTATTTCTGATTCCTTTTATTAAAAAGTCTTCATGTTGAATCTTGCTGTGTAAGAGAAAAAAAGGTGTTTCAATTGAAAATGTCAAACTACAAAAAGTTTCATTCTAAGTGATATTTTTAAATTATTGCCAAGACATATTTTCTAATGTACACTCGTATTAATATTACTGGAGTTTTTGCCAACATCAAACCGTTATTTTAACACCTCGACACGTATTTCGATCACCAAGTGATCATCTTCAAGACGACACTGTTTGATCTTCCTATTGAAACACGTGTCGACGTGTGAAAATAACAGTTTGGTGTTGGGAAAAACTCCAGTAATATTCATTACTACACCAAAGGTTACAAACAGTGCATCACAAGTACACTCCTATACATAAAATATTCGGTATTCTGGCAACACTGTACAAGCTTCAAAAGAACAAACTACTGTAAAGTTCCTGGCCTTTGGCCACCTAGACACTGCCTGTTTTGAAGTTGAAGTTGGAAGGATGAAAAAAGTGAAATTAGAGTAGCGAGCTAGGCTAGCAGGGAAGTGAGTGGTGGAAGAGGAGTGGAAGAGATATTTCTTTTGTCAAACAGCTCGACTAATTATACAAAGTTTCACAAGTATGTTTTCAATGCCACGATTAGACCTTAGTCGTTAGCTGTTGCCTTCGGTTTATCAACTGAGCGAACTTTCATTTTAGTGTTTGTTTTTTCCAAGTTATTTGGCGAATGGCGTCGTGTACCTAATAAAGAACCATATTTAAATTTGATTGTCGAGAATAAGTGAAGAAACGGTGATTGTAATTCGAACAATGGCGAATCCGAAAGCAACCAGCAGTGCCCTGAGAGCCTTAGCCGTGGAGTACAAGAGCCTCCAGGAGGAACCAGTCGAAGGTTTTTGCGTAAAACTCGTTAACGACGAAAATCTCTTCGAATGGGAAGTCGCTATTTTTGGACCGCCAGATACCCTGTACATGGGAGGATGCTTCAAGGTAGGTTCAAAACAATACCCCCCACAGCTGATTCACGGCGCTGTCAGTTGTAGGAACAACAAAAGAAATAGTTGCTTGAGCCTTGAGTGAGACAGAACAGGGGCGATGACAGATGTTGGGGAATGTGGCAATGACTTTACTGTACTGTGTATTTTGAAAACAAAAACAACAAAACTTCAGTACATCAGACAGATTAATTTTTATTTTTTAAACATATCTGAATGTTATTTTGGGTAAAATTATTTTAAAATTGAACAATACTTGATGCAAATCCATTACAACATTTTCATAAAACGTTATTCGAATTCGCGGCTTCTGTTTTTTCAAAAATTTGGTTTAACGCACCTATGTATTTTTGTCCTCTGATCAAGAATCTGAAGTCAAACAGTATGTTTAATTAACAAACATAAATTGATATTTAGCGGTCACCCCAATTATTATACCCTTCGTCAAACTAACGAACTAAGATTACCCATACCAGCCTCTACTTTAGTCAAAGACTCTATATATTATAATGCTCTCAAGATGTTTAATCATTTACCTGACCATTTTAAAATTTTAGAGGATAACTGTGTAATTCGAAAATCAGTAAAAGAATTATTATGTGGTAGACCCTATTATAGTTTAGAAGAGTTCTATGAGGACCGCTTTCTCTAATTTATTTTATCAACTGTATTTTTTATTAAACAATCTATGGTATACTGCATTTGAACATTTCAAACTTTTTTGGTATTATTTTTTATTGTATGATATCCTTAATCAATTTTATATGTGTTTGACAATTTTAATATTATTTGTACCCTATATATGTGTGTGTGTGTATAGATATGTATATGTGTATCTGTATATGTGTGTGTATGTAAATATGTTTTGCAGCATTGTCAATAAGACCTAATGTTTTTTGGGCAATAAAGCATATTATTATTATTGATTTGTTGTATCAGGAGGGATTGCTACTTCATATACTCAAACTTCCTCTAAATTCATTAATTATTTGCCAAGTTTCTTTTATCTTGATGTCTGACTCATTTATTTTGTTCTCGCAATATTTTTCTTTGCCATATTTGATAATTCCCTTATAAATGAGCAATACTTTTGGAAACAACAGTGAAAGCTAAGCTCAGTTGTGTATTTCCTTGGCTAATGAAGACATTGTAAATTTCTTGAGTGAACGATAAAAGATAACAAGCTTTATCAACAGGCTCCTATCTTGGACAACAAAGTATATTTTGATTGATTGGTGGATCATTTTAAATGAACGTAACATACCGAGTGATGATATTTACTACTGTGATAATCGTTATTATTTATTTCAGGCAAGAATGAAGTTTCCCACAGACTATCCATACTCTCCACCATCAATAAGATTCCTGACAAAAGTATGGCACCCTAATGTTTACGAGGTAGGAATGTTGATTCAACTAATTGGCACATCGCTAAATTCTATATATTCTTTATCAAAACAATAACTAGCAAAACATATCTTGGCAGCAGCCCAAGTGTCTTGCAAAATATTTTGAAAACTATCAATTTGTTTCAAGAGTTTTGTCTGTTTTTATTAGTCTACTTTAAACTGAAATATCTCACTGGATTCTTATTCACTTTAATCAAAATAAGCAACTCGACAAACAGTTGCAAAAACTGTCAAAGAATCAATCCTCCATTCCTATTTACAGAACGGCGATCTGTGCATCAGCATCCTTCATCCCCCTGTCGATGACCCCCAATCTGGGGAATTGCCATGCGAACGTTGGAATCCTACGCAGAACGTGAGGACGATTTTGTTGTCGGTCATCTCGCTGCTTAATGAACCTAATACTTTTAGCCCTGCCAATGTCGACGCCTCTGTGATGTACCGTCGCTGGAGGGACTCCAAGGGACGGGACAAAGAATATGAGAATATTATAAGGTCAGTACTTACAGTGTGTTTTTTTACACGCTTTATATTAGCTTGACCTGTATGTATGTTTGTTTGTAACTCCCCTTTTCATTTCATATCGGGATCTGTATTTGACAGAATTATCAACATTACTGCTTGATCTATTCGCGGGCAGATGGCGCTTTACGCAACCTCCTTGATATATCGACATTATTGCTTGTCAACATTCAATACTTGCTTTTATCATATTACCCTAGCTATAAAACATATGAAAAATAAGCTTTCAGAGTGTTCATATTCTACAAACGTTATTGTCTTGTAGAAAACAAGCGATGGTTGCTCGGGCTGAGGCCGAACGAGACGGCATGAAGGTGCCCCTCACCCTGGAGGACTACTGCATAAAAACGCAGGTGAAACCCAACAGGTCGGACCCCGCCGTCGACATGACGGACTTTTACGATGACGATTACGACGAGGAGTACGACGATCTCTCCGAAGGCTCCGATTACGTAGAAGAGGACGACAACGACAGCGGCAACGGGGAATCGTGATGCCGTTAGCGGAAGTGACGAGAGTCTCGAGTCCGTCTTGTATATTATCGCCTGATTTTTTTTCCTAGGAATCGTGGAGCATAAGCATATAAGATTTCTGAAGAGTTGATTGCTTTCCGTTCCGCTTGAACTGTATCAGGTTTTCTGTCTCTTCAAATAAATACTCAATTTCCTTCCAAGAATAGATCTAAGGGAGGAGTTGAATTTTTTTGTTATCAGATGGGAAATATTTTTCTGACAAAAATTCTTGTACAGTTTGCGCCATCTTTTCCGTATTGAAGCGAATCTTGTACACATGTTGAGTGTGTTATATTCGTAAAGTTCGGGTAAAGGTTTTAAAAATAAATCTGGTCTGAAAAACGGTAATTTTCAACATATGAATTCATATACAGCGCTCCCAAAAAGTAACGAATTAATTCTTTAAAATAGTTGACAAAAGTATTTAAAAAAAAATGTTTGCATATTAGGATCACATTTGCCAGCTTCCACCTCTTGGGGAACAGATGTTTGTAATTTAGGAACACGTCTGAGCTCTGGTAAAACACCATCAGGGTCAAGTGCTTTCTTTAGTTTGATCCTCATAACTGCAGACTTGAGCTCTACCGTAAGAGTCATAGGGGGCTCATGTTCTGTAATGTTCCATATGAAGGGCATATCGCCCCTGAGGAACATTTCCCTTATCTTTTCCTCTTTGACATTCTGGTGAAGTTCGTAAGGCATTCTAAAAGGCGTCATTAACCCTGTTACTATGTGGTAGCCCTGTCCCCTGGAGTTTTCCTCCAACCTTTTGCATAGCAACCTATTGTACTTGGTGTGACGATCCTGTTGCTTTTCTGGGCGATTTTCTGTCTCTAGATCTATTATCCTAGTTGGTTCTTCATGTCTACCTCTGGCCTTGTTGAGCCTTTCGATCTATAGCAGGTTTCCTGTAGTCTAGCAATATCTCCGTTCTACCAATCTAGTTGTGCTTTTATTGATTCTACATTTCTGTCTTCCATGCTCACGTCTTGTGCACTTTTTAACGCCCTAGTAAGATCCTCCATGTCTACAATTGAACTTTCCAGCAGTTGCATCGTGATTTTGAATACTGGCTTCAATGTCTGTCTCTTCCTGTCAGTTGTACTTTGGTTTCCTTTTCCCCTCACAAATCTCACAAATGATATGCCTATGAAGGCTCATAATTTCCTCCGTTCTCTGAGGAGAAGGTAATGTCATTGATCGATGCTTGTGTTCCCCTTGTAAAGGTGGGGGTATCACCCTCATGAAGCACTACCACATCAGTTCCTCCAGGTGGCGCATCTCAAGTTTGCGCAGACTACCACCATATATTTGTGTCAACTATTTATTTTAAATGTATCAATTACTTTTGGGAAGTACTGCATAAAGAAACGTATGGCATCCAAACAGCTGTTTTTTGAAAATCGCACAATCATAACGAACCTAGATTGAATTAAAATTACTTGTAAAATTATCGAGCGGAAATTGAACTGTCGTATCATTTCATTTTTACTGACAAAAATCATTTCTCAAGGACCAGACACTCTGCTCTGTGACCAAAGTATCTTTCCGTACTATCCATGGACAAATCGATATTCGAGAACGAATGTAGGACAGAAATTTTTGCCTGAATTTATACTGTTTCGCAATTTTTCCTGCGTTCAAGCCTCTCAGTTTGTAATTTGTATATAGAACTAATACTATCCCCTCAATTGATGAACTGTAAAAAAAAACAAGTATGTATATAGTATAGAGAACGCAATCATAGATTGAAAATAAATTAGTTGATACAAAGCAGTAGAAGGGTAGGGACTTTCAAAGCTATTTTCGTGTTTATCGGCAGTGACCTACAGGTTTTTGCCTGACGTTTCGCCTAAAACTGCGGTATACATTGCCAAAGGCAATAGGACTACGGACTCAATGCTCAAACTTTCCTTACAGCTCATGCTACATTGTTTGAGGGTTTGAGTCGACGGTCTTATTACATAACTGATAGGCGTGGTTTCATTCCTATTGGTTGGCCTGAATCGTATATAGTTGAGTGCAGGTAGTCATACTTTATTTATGTTAATACTGATGATGTCATTCATTGCTCAACAAATTGTACAATCCCCTCAGAAATCTTTGCATAATTTGCTAAGGAATAACGAGGGCTTACCTTTCAACACGCGATTCCTAGCACGGAGGCTATGACCATCTTAGAACAGAGATTAGGTGAAGATGTCGTCAGATTGGACAAAATCTTTAAGGGATTTCCAATAACTTTGAGAGTCCCTTACTAAGAAAGGCGGAACTGTATCTGGACCAGATACAATTGCTGCTGCTTCAATTGGACTGTGATAATTTCCCTTTCAGTTTCATAACGGATATTGATGTTGTCAGCAAGATAATGGCTATCGATCTTCTGCATTTTACTTTTGGTCAGCTCCGATGCCAGAACAAATACATCACCAAAAAGTCCTTTGAATTCTTTAAGTATATCCTGTGGTCCGGAAAGCGTAAGCTGTACGGAGACTAGATTGCATCCAGTTTATTTATTTCAAGAGCAAAATTTATGACCAACTCCTGCACTTGTCCCACCTCGCCTTACCGTATGTACCATGGGGATAACTAGAGTACTAAGAACATTATCTCATCGCTCTTGATGCCTACCGCAGTTGTAGTTGAAACGTCAGACGTAAAAGCTGTAGTTTCAGTCCATGTTTCTCTGTCGTAACTAAGCTAGTCCTAAGAACAACTCCTTTCTTGCTGAATATGCCCTTCTACATCTTTGTGTTTTTTTAGGATTAGGATGTTTTGTAAATAATTCAAAAATGTATTATTTATTTAGGCTTAGCACTTTTACAATAGTCGTGGGTGTGCAGTTATTTTTGCAGAATGTTGTGTACAGTACAATACAATTTCACAACGATAGTGCCCTGTTTCACCTTTGAGTGCTATTGGTTGGTGTTTATTTTTCGTGTGGTATGTATTATATTGATGGAACAAGAAATAAATGTTTCGAATCAGGAGTTTTTATCGAAGAATTGAAAATTGTTTTTTTTTGCATATTCATGTGATCTGTTTGTCTCTGTCTTGTCCAAGGTTTTTTCAATTTTGCATTGGTGAGGAAACCTCTTTCACCTTTGAGTGCTATTGGTTGGTGTTTATTTTTCGTGTGGTATGTATTAAATTGATGGAACAAGAAATAAATGTTTCGAATCAGGAGTTTTTTCTGTACCTTCCCCTTCTTGTATAAACTGAATTTCAGATATTCTGTAGACATCTATGAGGTATCCATTATACTTTGTGGAGATTTTAATCTAGATTTGTATAACGTTTGAGACAACAATTTTACAAATTTATGCGATATACTGAGTAAGTTTAATGTGAAACCACAATTAAATTACCCCACTAGAGTCACTAAAAATGTCAGTACAGAAATGACACTTGGAAAATTATTTGTTTCCTTGATTAATGCACCGCCACCTTGCGGTGATAGTTTCCTTGAATAGACGAACTTTTTAGTTCGCGTATTGAGAAAGAGATGGCGTTATAGCGAATTGAAAGTAAAGGAATTTCACAGACATATATTTCATAAACTAGAACCAGAACACATTTTTCCTAGCGACTACTGACACAGAATGCTTTGCAGAAGAGCCACTCAGCGTAGAACAAATAAGAACTTTTGAAAAATCTTGAGGCGATTAACCTAAATTTTCTTCGAAATGTTAGTGAACGTGGCCATGTTAAAACAGAGCTAGTTTCGTTAAAATGTTGATCTAACAACCAATGCGATCGTGACTGTTTCTCGATCAAACTTGACCCCTTAACATCAAAGTTCTGCAAGATGAGGGTCTTCACTGCAAAGGATTCTGTGCTAGTGACAGCCTTTACTCGTCAGAAGCGATAATATATAATATTCAATGTTGTTCTGAACTATACCCAGATCTCAAAAACTTACAAAGTTGAAGAAGTTTCATTTTACAAAATATGTCCACATTTTCTGGTATTTCAATTTTATTTATGACACTTTGAAAATTCCTTGTTTTGTTGATGAGTGCACCGTCACCTTGCGATGATAGTTCCTTCGTGAACTGAAAAAAAGATGGCGCAATAATAAAATGAAAGAATTCTACAAGCACAATATTTGATGGGCTTTTTAGTTCGTCTACTGAAAGAAAGATGACAACTGAAAAGTGACTAAGGAATTCTATAAAAATATTTGATGAACTAGAAGGTTTAAGGTTATGTCGACGAACTAGAATCGGTACACAGTTTTCGTAAATGACTACTGATACAAAATGCCTTGCAGCACTCAGCATAAAACAAAAATCATGAACTTCTGAAAATCAATAATCATTACTTATATACTTTCAGGAAGTCCAATAAACGTGTGACAGACCAAACTTATGTTTTTTTTCGAATATAATACTCCAACTATTTTCACTGGATTGGATTTCTTGGGCAGAGTGCTTCTCAAAAATATAGGGTTTATACCGGGTGGTTCAGAAGTTATAGTGAAATTAATGTCAGAAAATGGTATCATTCAACATCAAATATCATCCCCTACTCGATCAAATGGAATGAGAAAATTTTCCAATCAAATATCCTTGAGGATAGTGTATTTTCATTTCGTCTTCATAAATTTACCGAACGGCGCTTTTTCTAAAACAGAACTCGTGATCATTGGTAACTATAAGACTAAATACATTAAACATTCAGTTGGTGAGTTGTTCAGTAAAAAAAATACAGTGAATATATAGTAAAACAAACGTAGATAAAGTTTGAACAAAAGATAAGACAATGAAATACAATATACGTTTCTAACCCTAATTGTCAAACATACTCGTAATACGTATTCCTTCCTCACAAGTGCACTTTTTCACTGTTCTTCGAAATAAAGGATAGTTTTAGATATTTTTAAAGAGGAAAGTGATAATACATCTTTTCGCTTTCAAATATGACGGACCTTTTTGTCGAAGATGTAGGTATTGTATGTTCGTTAAGTTATTTTTGACTTATGTATTAGGCAGATCGTTTCTGTGATGAATATGGAGAACATAGTTTTACATGTTTTATAAAAAGAGGTTTGCAGTGAGCCTTGCGCTTACTGAGACCCAAATATCCAATTCATCCATCTTAACTCAACTTCTGATGACTTTGCAGTCGCCATTCAGTACCATTCGGTCATGTAGACACTACAAACTTTAAAATCCACGGCCGATCTTTAATTTTTCGAGTTTTTTACGTATGTTTTATAAAATATTATTGAAAATTAATAATGAATACTGCTAGACTCATTTCGGCTGCGGTAATTTTTACCAGACGCTTTGAAACTTTAAAAAAATTAATGTAACTTCACCTACAATGTCAGTCTGTATTTTTATATGTGATGCTCAGGAAACTAATTCAATAATTTTTATAAGCAGCCGGATCAATCGGAGGGCCCTAACATTCCCCCAGACACACGGCAAAATAAGTAACGTTTGGGATCTTGCTCTATAAAGTTAGGTTGACGAACTCTCCCCCCGAAACCTCGATGCATTATCAATATCATATTTTTATTATTAGTATTAATATTATTAATATTATTATAAAGAACGACTCAAGTGAATTCAAAGGAATTGTTGATCAAGGAAAAAATGATTGGCGTAGAATTTATGATAACCCAGCCGACAAGAAAGTGATCTTCAAGGATAATTCCCATCTCATACATCAACTCTATCATTTCTTTATCCAATAATTCTGTCTATATCTTCAGTCGTCTCCAGAGAAACCGCAATTTATGCCTTGAAGTGGTCGCTAATTTTCTTATGAATTCGCCCTTTTTATTAATAAAATTGAAATTGAATGAGTTGCAATCAGACAAATGGGAGCTCGTCATGCGGTGACGACGCATTAATAAAGAAGGAATATAACTCGGTTAGCAACTCAATACGTTCATTATTGAATTATCATTTGGGAGATATATGTGTTTGGCATAATCAACACGTGTTCTGTCTGCGAATTAATATTGCCCCGAAGTATTCTGGAATGGCATAAACTAGGTGGCACTTTTATTCGTTTTAGGAAAAATCGAAGAATTGAAAATTGTTTTTTTTTGCATATTCATGTGATCTGTTTGTCTCTGTCTTGTCCAAGGTTTTTTCAATTTTGCATTGGTGAGGAATTCAGTCATCGATCGAAAATGATTTTAGACATTAACAATCGAAAAATCGTGACGATTTGAATTAACTTTCTTCTTCTTTTTATGTATTGTCTTCAGGGGAATCGCAGAGTGGGCGACATCTAGGTATTGTTATTTGAAGGTCATACATAAGGAAAACATTAGTTATTACCATAAGGAGCAATAGTCACAAACAGACATGTTCGTTGTTACACTTATCTACTGTAACATTCTCAAATCGCGATCAGTTCCTGAACTGAACATTGACGACACAACGGCGGTACTCATCGCTACATTCTATTGGTCACTGTAACATGACTTCAAATTTAATTTTGTGACTCTTCAGCCAATCATAAAACTCGGTTAGTAAAAATTATCCAATACGAACCGCCAATTCTTCAGTCCACGTGGACTAATTCGAAGAGGCATTATTTCTTTGTATTGGTTTTTTTGGCCTTTGAGTTCGCCCACAGCTTCAAGAATGACTATATCAGTTACTTCGACTATACTAACTGTAAACGCGGTGAATGTAATAAGACTAGCGTTGGTCCCGAGACTTTTCAGCTCATGTAGTAATATTATTTTTCAAATAACGGATTATCTCAGTCACTGAAGGAATATTGAGGGAATTTTTGTTGAATTAACACCTGGATGTTGTATTCAAGAAACAATTTATTGTGAGATTTTTACTAAACAGTTTTACAAAAACGCGACACGTGTTTTGCTACACAACCGCTTCTTCATGCGTGTCTTTATAGTCGATTGTTTCAGCATGTGACAAGGTGAAATTTGACAGTTATAATCAATTCAAAGTTACCCACACCTGAAAGCGAATCAGCTGGTGGAAAACGATTGTTTTAAACTCTCCGCATGGTTTACATAAGAACAAACGAGTTGGAAAACGTGGATCTGCGGATGCCACTTTAACAATGTGCTTTTTGTTCAATTGGAGGAAAGCTAATGAGATGAGAATATTTAATAAACTGGGGACAAGTAATGACCACTCATGAAACATAATTAATTAATCGGAATTGCCGTTTACGCTTCGTGTATGATTCTATTTTCGGGTAAGTGGTGTGTGGGCGCTTTGAAGAGTCATAAAATTGGCGTACATTTAAAAATCTGAGTGCGTCCGGGATTTTTATAGCATTATCGACGAAAAACAATACAAGAGCATTAACAGGAATCATCTGAAAATGTCATGGAGAGAGTTATTTCCGGCATTAAAAGTACCAAGAGATGAACGTCAGGAAAAAATATATCGAAATGTTTATTGTACATCCCACCTGTTTTGTTAAAAAAACTGAAGCCTAAATATAAAAAAAGAAAGGTTTTGACTTGCTACTTCTTCATCTTCATACAAAAAAAATGTTGGAATCTTCCAAAGAAAGGAAAAAAGCAATCAATGTCAAAAGAGTAACACTATATAAAGATGTGTAGATCACGCAGAGAAGTAACTTCCAGACATTAACGGGAAAAAAAGCTCTCTCGAAACAGCTATTTTCATATAAACATTCAATTACATGAAAGAAAAATACTTTTGAAACAAATACTCCTATATATGAACACTGCATTATACGAAAAACACTTTTCTCTACTCAGTTTGTATTCCAAACATTCGTAATGGAATCGAATCAGATACCATTCACAGAATTGCTACATAATATAGCAAATGAAAGAGGTGACATTTCATTTACACGGAACATCATCCTCACCTATGCCAATTTGATGAAATTTGATTTCATGGTTCAGTATAGTTGCTTTCGAGGGCGATACAACGATTAGAGCGGTCATAAAATTTTTCGTTATCATTTTCATAGTACAATTCGTCTATAGTCTCTAAATAGCCCTCATATTTTCAGCGAGAATTATCTTGAAGTTTGAAAACAGGAAAAAGTCGCTGGGGCCCAGATGTGGAGCATACGGTGGATGCGGAAGCGAATCGAAGCCCAATTCATGCAATTTTGACATCTTTTTCATTGATTTGTGGTACGGTGTATCATCTTGATGGAACAGAATTTTCTTTTTATTCAAATGTGGCCGTTTTTACGCGATTTCGTCCTTTCGTAACAGTCACTGTTGATGGTTTTTTGATTCACCACGTGCAAATGTCACATTGTCACATATCGACGTATAAATTCGGGTTTTTTATGAGGGAACAGTTTGTCAGTGAGTCAGTTGGTCAGTCAGTCAGTA